TACCATTCACGGACTCGACATCATGTGTCAAGCCTCAAGTCGAGGTGGTTCTGGATTAACGGCACATGCCATGCCCACTCGAAGTGCAGAACCCAGATCACGTCTCAATGTGCGCTGTAGCCTGTCAGTGTCACCCCGCGTCGCGCGATGCCTACTCAATCTCAGTGTCACTCCCAACATGTCACCCCCCCATCGACATCTGTCAGATCATGCCACGCCCCCTCGGTCGATCTTTATCGAATATCCGTCAGTGGGTGTCGATGATAGCACGGACGCGAGCACGGACGCGACACTGGTCGCCCGCCCAACGTCGCCGACGGGTGTGTTCCGGCGTGCCCGATGTCAGGTTCTGTCATGCTCCGTGCATGCTATTCAATCGCATTTCTCACTCAGAAACTCAGAAACTCAGCAAGCGTTTCGACCCGCGGCGCTCGTGGTCGTGAGCGGGGGCGTGTAGGACATGCTTCGTTCATCCATCCCTCTATCCCTCCCTCCTTATCTTACTTATTGACACCGCTACGTGATCCCGATGCTACACCCCCTCACCAACCCTTCCATAGTAAGCACCACACAAAACCCTAGCGCCACCACCCCATAGGCACCCCTCTCCTCCACTAGCACGCTTAATTGAATTCAGTCGTCCGTCAATTCAATTCTAAATTCAACGCACCATCCATGGCTATCAACGCTATCTATCAATCCCCAAAAGCCGGCGCAGATCCGTCCCTCCACCAGTGATCTCCACCTCCACCTCCCCAGTCACACAGCACACCACATGTCCTGGTGCCGAAACTGCCGCCAGGGGCCCCTTCATCTCACATCTGAGACACAGGATAACACATATAACAATAGGCGCGGCCCTGCGAATGAAAATGAGGGATCAGTGATGGGAGGGAGATTGGGGGGAGATGCATTCCTTTGGGGTGTATGTTTGTGACGTCATATGTATACATGTACCCCCGTAAGGGGGGAATGCGTCCGAGTCCGTGTCGCAAGGCACGGGTGTCCGACTGGTTCGCATTGGGGCCGGGCGGGAGACATAGGAGGACATAGGAGATCGTTGACGAGGGCCGACGAGGGGGGCGGGGGTGGATTCGGGCGGATCATCAACTGAAGGCTAGCAAGATATGTAGGGAGAGAAAGACTCACCCACCATGAATATCAACAGATATCAGACTTCTACAGCCTTCCAAAACATTCGAAGTTCGAATCAACTGCCATCACATCCACGATTCACGTTCGAGTCAAAACAAAGCAGAGAGAAAAGCAGAAAACACCAAAGATGAAAATTGCGATAGTACCAATTACAGACTAAACGAGTAGATTCTAGTTGTACAAGATATATTTGCGTGCGTGGTTGTGTTGGAATTGTGATGATGATGGTTGTGCGGTATTAAATGATAAATATCCCAGTGAAAGTTACGAGAAAGAATAAGAGATTTTGAGAGAGGAAGACAGCAAGGGAAGGAGCGTGGGGGGGTCGTCAAGTTGGGTGATATCAGGCGGTGAGCAATGAGTTGGTTGGTTGAGTGATGTCGAGATGGGGTGTGATGGAAAATCGTTGATGGTTGATGGAAAGCAATGGGTAACGAGCGTCGAGCTTCATGAAATGGTATGCGGGTGGAAATTGTGCGGGTTCTCCAGGAGGACGGGCGTTGTCGCAAGGGCGGGATGGAAACACCCCCTACGCTGCGCCCGTCGTCAAGATGGCGATAAACCGCCCTCTCCCTGGTCTTTAGGCCTCCCCACAAACGACGCTGGACAGCCCACTCTTCACATACTCCTTAGGACCGTCGAAGCTCCTCCTCCGCATCGGCTTCCCCACCGCATGCACCCTATTGAGCAGTATCCCCGCCACGAGCCTCGATCTCGCATTAGGGTCGAACGAGTTCTGCGGTCTCTGCACGGGGGGCTGTGGGGTCCGCAAGGTGAATGCCGGGGCGTTCGCATTGAGGGTGTGCGGGCGGGAGGGCGGGAGGGACGCCGGCGTGGTGCGGTACAGCACCGCCGGGGCAGCGGAAGTGGTGGGAGACGGCGGGGGCGGGCCGACGTCGGAGTCATCCGAGAAGGGGTCGAAGGTGTATGCCACGGAGGTGCGGGGCGGCGGGGGAGGGGGAGCCCTGCGTACGGGAGCGGAGTGCGTTGAGCGGGGGGTGGAGGTTCCCAGTGCACGGCGGGGGCGGCGGGTGTACGGGGCCGGCTGGGCGTGTCCCAGGCCGGGGGGATACCTGCCTCCGCCGTTGTGGGTGTTCATGAGGCCGCCGAGGTTGAGGAGGAGACCGGCATGTGCGGCGGCGGAGGAGCCGGCGTAGGGCGGGGACGCGCGGGAGGTGAAGTCGGTGTGGATTGTGCGGATGTAGTGAGACATTTTGTTACTGAGGTGGGGGGTGTTTTTGGTGGATGGGTTGTCGAGGAGAGAGCGAGCTGGAATTGGCTGGTGATGGAAGGGTCTTATACTCCCGGGTCCAGGATATTCGAGAACAATGTCCGTCGTGTCAATCCAGGGTTTGATCTCGATTATGTAAGCACTGTCAATGCCACGTGCCGACTCAACTAGACACAGCAATTGCGATGTCAAGGACCAATGATCCCCTTTTGTGTCTCCCATCTGGTTCTTTGGCACTTGCCTTCTAAGAACGCCTTCGCGACCGTTTGACCACACGGACCTTGTCCCATTTCTGTACGTGCAGTCACTCAAAGCAATCTGCCAACGCCAGTTGTCGACTTGCCAATTGTGCTTGAATCAGTCTTCGAGCCCAAGATGTTCAAAGTTCTTCTCCATGTGCAGCACCACCGCTACCCTACCTCCACGCCACCCCTCGCATCAGCCCGGAAAATTGCAGCGGCCATCTAAGCCGGTCCCATGTCTTCTTCCAACTGCCTCCTCCGCAAAAAACCATCAGCTGACCCCGACGATCCCTGCCAGATCTCGCTCTCAGGCCCAGATCAAGGTATCAGTTGGACCGGGGCCGTGCTTCCTTAGCTTTGCTTAGCTTTGTCCTTCACCGTACTGGGCCTTCAATGGGTCATCGCCGCCCACCCTGGAACGTCTATCCTTGACTCTGGGAGAGCCGCGTCCATGCCGGCATCCCTATTCTGTTTGAGGTGCTTCTTTTTCTCTGCCATCTTCAAAGAACGCTTCTTCGACAATGCCTCATTGTACTCGAGTCTTGGCCCATCCATTCCATGCCGTATTTCATCCAGGCCTTGTTCTCAAACCCCTCCCGTCGTCGGGCGCTCTCCCAGGGCCCAGCTTCTCGACCATTGTCCCTGCCTGGCGTCATAGTAATAATTATTAATGTGTGTGTGTGTGTGCATTCCAATCTATTAGTATGCGCCCGTGCGAAGATCAGCCAAAGTTTCTTTGTCCTCCCCTATGTACGGATGATGGATGCGATCACGATGACTCCGCCTACATTCTCATAGCCAGTACCCACGCTCCCGGTTCTACCCCACCCCACTGCAGTGATCCCACGACACGGTGATGGTCCCTGATGGAACTAGAAGATCTCCAAGAATACGACTACAACTGCAACTAGATCAACCCACGACTCGGGCCCAGCGACATCCCATCCTCTGAACTAGATGCCTTTTGTCAGATCTCCAAGAATACGACCAGATCGAACTCACGGCTCGGACCACAGCGCTATCCCGTCCCCTGAACTAGAACCGTCGTACCTTTCTCAAGATCTCCAAAAATACAGTAGGACTGGATCAACCCCAACGCGCTATCCACGCACGCACCCCGCCTTCTGGATGGTCGAATCGGAATGGGAATGGCACACTAATCTCTCTCTCGCCTTGACAACATAACGTACCATTGCACCCCACCTACTTTTTTCACGTTCAGCGTACAGCATACGGCCCCCACCAGGTCCGACGGCCCACCTTGGTGCTAAACTTGGACTCTCGACGTGACCGTAAACACAGGATAGGATGCATACGGTAACGTAAGTCCGTACTACCCACAATTCACACTTAAACCTTAAAATTGCTCCAACGCACCACAGCCTCCCACCCCCCGATTGCTCCCAAGTCTAAACACAAACTGCGCCTGCGCCTGCGCTCAAACAGCGAAGCTTTCATTAATCATCCATTCATCGATCGCAAACAGGAGGCGGTGTGATGCTCGACTTTACGTTCCCTCTGCTTCTCGGAGGGCGTTGCAGGATCTGGTACTGTATGGGATGGATTCTGTAAGGGTGCCGACGCCCACGAATATCAACGATCGAAAACGCAACAGGCGCTTCGACTTTTCGATGTGACGGTGCCTGGCATGGTGTGGACTTGGACGCAATCATCGGTCCCAGCGCCTATCGCAAACGCAGGCAAGCAAGACGAGACGCATCAACACGAGGCGGTGCGCGACGGGCGTAACGGTGATACTGCCTGTCTTGCGTGTATCCGGGAGGGAAGAGTCGGGCCCGGGCCCCGCGCGTATAGGATCAGGCGGTCGGCGCGAGTCGGGGTAGAGGTACCCGTTCCCGGTGCTGGAGGGCAATTCGTCACGGTGACGTCGATGACATGGCGCAGTATGTTTTTCCTATCATTCCAGGAGATGGGTGCTGCGGAGCTGGAGCTGGAGCCGGAGCCGGAGCCGGAGCCGGTGATGGGTGTAGTGCGGCTTCGATGGTGGGATGGAATAATACGAGAACAAGGGACCTACCCTGTCTTCCACGACATCTTGTACTTACCCGATACATAATAAATAACACACAACCGAATTCATTTCGACGTGTCTTTGTGTACTTCGTGATTTTCCGAGCGTCTTTGTATGGTCTTTGCCTTGTTCTTTGTTCTCGCAATTTATGGGTTGTTCTTTGTTCTTCGTTTCTCGCTTTGACCCTCGGCAGGCGTCGGGCGGGGCTTTTGTTCTCCCATGGGTAGCTAGCAACAACTTTCCTTACCTTTCTTCCCGCCTTGATCATCGTTGATCATCATCAATATTATGCGTTCTCATTCCAACTCTACAGAATCCCAAACCTCCCTTCATCGAGCACAGCAGCATGGCGCAGTTGGAAGCGCGCGGGGCCCATATCTTGAGTATTTGAATGGATAACCGAAACCCCGAGGTCACTTGATCGAAACAAGTTGCTGCTACTGCGAATTTATCACATATTTTGTTCCTCCTCCCCACGAATGCCGCACACCTACGAACTCGGATACGCAGAGGCAGCATAGCGCGTCTGGCAGCGCGCGGGGGTGCACTCTCGTTCACTCCCCCGAGGACACGCAACACTTGTTCGATCCAAGTTGTTGCTATTAGCGATAGTAACATGGTACAGTGCATTTTCTTCCTCCTCACTCATTCACTCACTCATTCTGCGTGGGCGTAGGACCATGGATCGACCAGTATGAGCTCTGAACTAGGAATCATAACGGCGGTATGGCGCAGATTGGCAGCGCGCGGGGGTGCGCTCTCGTCCATTCACCCCGAAGACACGCAACACTTGTTCGATCCAAGTTGTAGCTATTAGCAATAATATGGTAGAGGATATTTTGTTCCTCCTCACTCATTCACTCACTCATTCTTAGGACCATGGATCTACCAGTACGGGCTCCGGATCGGGAGTCGTAACAGCAGTATGGCGCAGATTAACAGCGCGCAGGGACCGTATATTTGCCAACTCTTCTCTATACACCCTGAGGACACTTGTTCGACTCAAGTTGCTGCTATGTATGCTGAGGCATCACTGTTGTATTTTTGTTTCCTCCTCACGGAGCTCACCACGCCACATAAGGTTCCGCATCGACACTATGAAGCGATACAGGTAAGTAAATGTTTCAGTTCTTCCTCCTCCTCCCTCGGTTTGCGTAGCTAGGATGTACGGGCTCTGAATGAGGAGACGTAACTGCAGTCTGGCACAGGCTGGCAGCGTGTGAGGATCGTGCGTTGCGTGCAAGAGTCACAGTCATATACACCACCCCGAGGTCGCTTATTCGATTCAAGTTGTTGCAACTCAAACACCTCCAGAAAGCTTTTTCACATTTTGTGCTCCCCCACACACTCCAGCCCATCCTCTTCTTGAGACAGATCCTAAGTGGCGGCTACTTGCGATTACCACAGTAAAGCTATAACATGGCTTTTGTTCCTCCTCACGTGTCAGCTAAGAATTCAGAGAGGCAATGGCAGTATGGCGCAGATGGGCAGCTTGCGGGGCTTGTGTGACGATCGATGTGAAAAATATACACCCCGAGGTCACTTGTTCGATTCAAGTTGCTGCTTGTAGGCGGACAAACATTGCAGTCCCTTTTGTTTCCTTCTCCTCGAGGGTGGCGCACATACTCGCCCACCTCTCCTCAGAAAGTACGGGCAGTATTTCGCAGGTTGGCAGCGCGAGGGGTCTCATATTTACCGACGAGTTGATTTACCCCGAGGTCACTCGTTCAACTCAAGTTACTGCTATGGTATCTGCGTCCGACATCGAATGTCGAAAACTGTTTTACCTCGATCTCGATTCACCTCTCCCTCTCACCTTGCAACGTACATACTGACCCCCCGCCCAAGAGACCCAACAAGCAGTATGGCGCGGCCGGTAGCGCACGGGGCCTATATGTGCCATTAAAAGATCAATTGCGCGTATCTCCCGGGGTCACTTGTTCGAGTCAAGTTACTGCTGTAATTTAACCTCGCCGAAGGAGCCGTTATCTTTGGACCTGCTCCTTCCGTCTCGTGCACACACTTACCCTAAGATTACCCATCTTTCATAAAAGACTACAAGTAGCATGGTGTGGTTGGAAGCGTGCGAGGGCCATAAGGATTACTTTAGGAAGCCACTTAACTCAAGTCGCGTCTATTATCTGTGAGTCGAGATCGGAGTTCTTTTGCTCGTGCTCTTCCTCACCTCCCTCACATGTGGCGCACATACTTACCCACCTCTCATCAAGAAATACAAGCAGCATGGCGCAGGTCGGGAGCGCGTGAGGCCTATATAATAGCGTGTTCAACTCAAGTCGCAGCTACTACCAATGGACGAGCACCACTCTTTTTGTTGTCTCCGACACGTACAAGTCGCATCAGTTTTTATCTTCTGGACTGATGGGCTGACGAACCTGATCGATAACTCCTAGACATGCCGGAACCCCCATCTCCTACAGCAGCGTGGCGCAGATGGAAGCGCGCGGGGCCCATATCCTGGTGTGTTACCCCGAGGTCACTTGCTCGAAACAAGCTGCTGCTATCATAAATACTCAACACTCTTTTTATCGTTTTCGGCCTTCCCAAGACCTTTATTGACCATATGCATGGTGAATCGCTCAGACACCGTCTTCGAATTCATTTATCAGACCAGGTCAGAGCATGCCTCCAACACCCTCGGACTTGAGGGACCTTTGCTTCAATCCCACACGCCTCTTACCTTTCCTTGAGCCTGAAATTTTATTCCAGCCGCACCCCCGCATCTCGCATACCTTCCCGCGTACTTATCCCAGCAGGTCACCGGAACCTCGGAGAGCAGCATGTTGTAGCCAGACGCGCTCGGAGCACAGAGTTCATGCACCCCCTGAGGATCGACGTGTCACTTGTTCGAAGCAAGTTGCTGCTATGTTCCATTGATTCTGATACTGAGCCTTTTTATTCCCTGCTTTGTTAAACAGCAGCGAAGCTGGACACCCCCCTGAAATCATCTTGTCGCTCAGGGACAACGTCACCGCATATGGATGGACCTTCGCACTCATTTGTCATAGCAACACAAAGCAAATGCCGCCCTCGAGGTTGTTGCATCCCTTAAATATCCTCATAACCTTACGTATATCTGCCCAGGAGCGTATAGAGCAGCCATGGCGTAGGCTTCAACGTGCGATTAGATGACGGTGGTGTATGGCTGATCTTCCTTATGAGCACTTGTTCGACGTGAGTTGCTGCTGTCATACGACCACAAAGTTACATTTTATCAGTCCCCGCCATATATGAACAGTCCTTGTGCTGTAGCCCTCTTAGTATGCTTACTGGACATTTAGTCCACTTTGACGCGGTTTTTGTCAAGACAAAGCAAGCGCCGCTTGGTGTCGTGGCGCCCAGATCAATCACATCATTCCCGTTCGCGTAGGTATGTCCCTTTCTTCGCTTATCGTTGACATTAAGAAGTCGATCAGCCGCCGCACCCTGAAAACCACTTCACCGTCTGACACACAATGTGACAACGTCGAGGTCAATCGTCGCGTATACGATTTAATTGGGTTATCATGCCACTGGAATAGACATCCTCCGCCCTATCTAGTGGTGAGGGATGAGGGACTCTAGCTCGTTTGAGTAATACTACGATGGGCGCGGAAGGGCCCGCACGAAGTTATGAGACGACGCTAGTATTGGGCTGGTTGGCAGCCATGGCCGCAAATATGTTTCACGGTTGTATGCCATTGAGCTTGCTTTCTTTCCAAGCCAGGCTATCTGTGTCATAAGGAGCATCTTGTATTGATACGGAACAAGTGCACGCCTACAATAAGGAGAGAGCGGGTATCAACGAGCATATCAAAAGCAGAAGAAGGTAGGGACAATAATAGGTATATGCCAACGTCGCAGTGTCCAGCTTCACTGTTCCGCCTGCTGGGGCGTCTGGGATCTGGAGCCATCTCTCTCACTGGCAGGATCTATACCACCGTCTGCGGGTTGAGACATCGAGAGACGGGGTCTATGCCGCGATCTGGGAGGCTGTACATCTTCGACGACACCTCCCGCTTCTTCTGTAGCCTCTAGATCTCTGGGCATGGAGGATGGCGGAGGAGCAACATCCTCGACGGACTTTTGTCGTTCATCGAGGTTTCGATCGGGGATCTGAAGAGGTTGGTGTGAGCTTCCCAAAGCACTGTAGAGAAAAGAGATATGCTGACAGGTGCACGAACGAGGAATGCAAGTAATGTTGAAGCCGCGGAAAAGATGAACACACCTCGGAGGCTTATCTCGTAGGAGTCCCTCACGATTATCTGGAGGTCTTCGGGTAGAGTCGCAACTAGCTGTGAAGAGTGGCGGATCTTGATGATCATCTATCAAGGAGGGGTGTCAATGGGATGCGGTATTGGACATATCCACAGCACCCGAATACGAACCTCGTTTGCATCTGGTCCTGTGATTCTACGCCGAAGCTCTGTATCCAACTTCGATTGGAAGATAGCTGCCGATACAGCGACACCACCAACCTGTCCTGTTGTACAGCTCGTCAGACAGCCTTGACACTTGTTCTGAGCATCGAGTGAGTTAACCTATTCCTCTAAAGAGCTGCCCGAAACCCGTTCCGACTGCCATTTGGGACTCTGTTCACTGTCAGGATATATATAGTATACGAATCGCAGAGCTCGCATACCTGGAAGATGAAGGAGAAGCGCGACTGACAGGGTTGAATCAAAAGAAGCATCTCGACTACGAGACGAATGGCTTACTGAGCATCGTTTGCATGACCACAGAATTGCCAAAACCGAGAGGTACCTGAAATGACAGGGTGAATTCAAAGGTGTACTCAGAACTAATCGATACATCACTCACGATGCCCATCCAAGAATGGAACGCTGGAGAGTCTTTGCGTAATGACGCAACGAGAGATGCCCCAATGAAGGGAAACCACCCAAATGTCAAGTTAATCATTTTATATTTGCCCATCCGATGCATCATATAACCCGCAAAGACCGACCCAAGCGACATTGAGATGCTGTTCGGGACCAGATGCATTCCTGTTACATTTGTACTATTAAGCGCCAAGAGAAGGAGGGCTGTGAGATATGGATATTGGTTTGCTCACCTGCTGTAGACGCGCTTGTCGACATGACAATCTGAAACCACATTGGGTAAAAGTAATTGACAGAGTAGTTGCATGTCGCGACAAGGAAATTCGATATCCCCACAAGGACCGGTATCTTCTGCTTGAGTAATGCGGGCGCTAATACGGGTTCTTGTGCCACATAGAGCTCCACCAACAGGAAAGCGATGAAGCTGACTGCAGTGACCGTGATTGAAGCAATGACCGATGGATTCGACCACTGGTACGACGTCAGTACCAAATTACGGATGCTGAACTGCCTGAGGCTCACCGGGAGACTTTCGTTGTATTTCACACTAAGGAAGACGAGGGCCGCGGCAACCTGGGGAATAATATTAGCCAAGATGTTAATACAGGGCAGGCCACACACCGAAATGAGAAGTATGAGAGTTCCACCATAGTCGATCCTTTTCAAAACTTCCTTGGTGCTCTTCCCCTTGCCCTAAGAAGGATATTAATATCCCAGTGGAAAAAATGACTTAGGAATCCCTAACTGGGGTGACGTAGTGGTGGAAGTGGGACATCAGCGCGAACGAGATCATGAACATCGGTAACTGAATCAGGAAAGCCCATCGCCAGCCCAGCCTATAAAAGTTATCAGTACATCTATAAGTAGAGAAAGGTGGAAGCGATACCAATCAGTCAATAGGCCGCCAAAGGGACCGCCAAGTCCCATGCCCAACTGCGTGAACGAGGGTGTCAATTGAGGGTCGAACTCAAACCATGACACTTACTCCTTTGAATACATTGACTATGCCATGTGCTAAACCGCGAGTCTGAGGACCACTCAGTATGAGCACAACGTGGTCATTTAGAGGACTTACCCGCATGTCGTACATATCGTTTATGATGATACTTGAAAGAGTTTCAGTATTTGTGAAAGAATCGTGTGTGTGAACTTACGAGCCCACTGTGAGCAGTCCTCCTCCACCTATTCCCGACAACTGGCCATGTTTCATTGGGTTTCGTCCCGGAATGCTGAGTTAAAGGAACATACAAATCGGGCGAGTACAAGCATTTCCATGCTCTGGGACAGGCCGCATCCGAGCACGCCGAGCGCTGTAAGTACCAACGCCAACTGGCTTGCGCCCTTCCGGCCCAAGACATTGCACAGTCGGCCATAGAGGGGTGTGAATGTGCAAGTTGCAAGGAGGTATCTGAGGCAGTGTATGAGCAATGGATGATGGAAATGCAGGAGACCTCGTACCCTGTACCAAGCCAGCCGGCTTGATTAAATTTCTTGAAATCTGAAGATATCGACGGCAACACTGTATATCATCCATAAAATAAGTGTGATACACAAGTGAAGTATGAACTCACTCGTCGGCACTAACGTCGCTGTGTTCGATGCCTGATGTTATTAGGAAAAATATCAGATACAGTGACCAGACGAACAATTCATGGCCTAACAGAATGAGCTTCAATGCCGTCAAATGGGTAAAGGCTCACACCGAAAGGAAGATCGCAGACCATATCCCTGCCAGAATACCGTACCGCGTTGACCTAGATAGTTCCAGAGGCCCTACACGAGCCCTTCTGGAGACATGTCGGCCGTGATTGCCCGCCTGTCTTAATAATAAAGGTTCCGTTTCTGACACGGCTGTAGGCATTCTCCGTGAAAATGGTATCTGTGCGGCGATTTCGTCAGATTTTCCTTCCTCCGGCGAGTGGCCAGTTCATAGTAGGCGAATCGGTTTTCCGACAATCGATGTGATTAGATGACATAATATCACCAAAATGGGATAGTGATAGGTTGTCACGGTGACTTCAGCCACCATGCCAGACTTCATCGCCGCCGCCACTTTCATAATTAGTCTTTCCTAGACAGACAACCATCAGTCGCGTCTCCGTTCTGTAGTCTGTTGGTTATTGGAGGTCTCTGTTGGGAGGATAACTTTATTATATTACCATCAATCCTGATTGTAAATGCATACGGTCGGACCTATCAAGGACGCGTTTGCGCCCCTATAAGCGACTCTCGAGAACCGGTGTATAACATGTTTGAAATAGAAGGACCCATTCCTAGGTCTTAAGGTAGACGAAGTTTGTGATCTGGACACTTGGACCCTGAACCCTGAACGTATCCCTGAGACTAGAGGCACGACAACTTAACGCTTCGTGTTCAGGCTGAATCTCTCATTCAAGTCATCACTTAGATATGAAGTGTAGTTGCAATTAAGTAGTTTGATGTGATTGGGCAGTTCAGGCACCGCAAGCATGTGGTTCTCGAAATGAACTGGCTTGTTTGAAGCAGGCATAGACAGCGTGTAACGCATGTCCCCGCTTTGAGAAACTAGGCTCAAAGAGGTCAGAGATTTCAAGTCACGTAGCTTCAACTTTCATGTGGTCTTCTCATAATCCAAGTGAAACTTCGAGCTACTATCCTACCACACGCTCACAGAAAACTTACTTTGCACAGAATCTTGGTACGA